TCATGGGTCCACTTCTCAAGCTAGTCCAGCACCCTATAAAATGGCATCCCATCCTTCTGTTGTGTCAACTGCATCATTCAGTTTTGTGTCATCTGCAAACTTGCTAAGGGGGCACTTGCTCTCACTGTCTATGTCATTGATGAAGACATTAAAGAGCACTGGTCTGAAGACCCTGAGGGACACCACTCATCACCAGCCTCCACCTGGACACAGAGCCACTGACCAAACTCCCTTCAAATCCATGTCTCTCTAATTTTGAGGTAAAGATACCATGTGGGATCATGTCGAAAGCCTTACAGAACTCTAAGTAGATGACAGCAGTCTGTCTTCCCTTGTCAGCTGTTGCCGTCACTCCATCACAGAAGGCCAATGGATTGGTCAGGCATGATTTGCCTTTTACGAACCATGATGACTGTCTTGGATCACCTCCTTTTCTTGGATATGACTTAATATTGCTTCCATGAGGATCTGCTCCATGATCTTCCCAGGCACAGAGGTGAGGCTTAGCGGTGTGTAGTTCCCTGGGACTTTTTTTGTCCCTTTTTTAAAACTAGGGTGAAGTTTCCCTTTTTTTCAGTCACTAGGACTCTGTAAGATGGCCATGAATCAAATTTGATGGAGACTGGTTTGGCAACAACATCAGCCAGCTCTCTCAGGACCCTGGAATGCATCTCATCAATCCCCATAGACTTGTGGCTATGTTTTATTAAGAGGTTCCAAACCTCCTCTTCACTCTCAGTGGGAGGGACTCTGCTCCCCCAACCTCCCTCTAGAAGTTTGGGGGCTCGACAGACATAGGAAGCCTGATGGCCAGTAAGATTCCTTGAGTACCTCAGTCTTCTCTATATCTGTTGGCACCATTTTACCCTTCTCATTTCTCAGGGGGATTCACTCTCCTTGGCCTTTCTTTTCTGACCTATTCCTTCTTGTTATTCTTCACATCCCTTGCCAAGTCTTATTTCATCTGTGTCTTGACTTTTCTGACATGATCCCTACACATCTAAACAGTATCCCTGTTCTTTTGCTGGATTGCATGTCCTTACTTCTACTGGCTGTGCATTTCCTTTTTACTCCTGAACGTGAGGAACAGATCCTTGCTCATCCATGACAGTTTCTGGCTGGCCTTGTTCAATTTCCTGCACAGAGGAATAGAGAGTTCTTGCACTCTAAGAAAATTGATCTGAAAGAGTTCCAGCTCTGGTCAGCCCCTCTGTCCCTAAGGACAGTTTCCTGGCGGATGTCGTCCATGAATTCTTTAAACAGCTGTAAGTTGCTCTTCTAAAGCAGTACAGTTGGAAAAATGGCATCATAGTCTAGGGCTATGAATCACAAATAAAACAAGCCTAGAATCGTGGTCTAAAATTTCAAAAATTATATCAGGTCAAGAAGACGTGGAGAAGCCAACCCCAAAGGACCTTTTCCAGGGCAGGAAGCCAAGGTTAATTTTAAGACTAAAGAAGATTTATTGCATATCTGGGAATGAGAGTTGAACTGAGTACAGAATTATAAGATAGGAAGATTAAAGAGATTTTGCAAGCAAAACTGTAAAATCTAGCTGTGATTGCAAAAGTAATGAATAACTGGGAATAAGAGATGGAAATGTCTCAACTTTGTTGTAGACAGGATACTTATCTGAGAAGACAATATCCTATAATCATAAAGAATTCTCATGCACTTCTGAGACTGGACACTGTGATAGACAGAACTTGAAAATTACTTAACTCTAGTCATATATTATAAAATCTCTGGTTTAAACCTGTGTTTGTACATAAGTGATCATTAATGGATTATTTGAAATCTGTTTGCATTGCTTCTAGCAGTGACAGGCTTATTAGAAAGCAGTTACAGAGATTGAACAAGTTAGTACTTCTTCATTCACAGTGAATACAGGAAATGCATTTCTCTCTGTTGTATCAATTTCTTCTAAAGGTGCTGACAAGAACATTATTTTACGGAGTGCAGGCATCACAAAGGAGGTAAGCTAATAAAAATTACAAAAATATAAAAGAATAGCCAGTCATAGCTGCTATTCTGCTCAAAGTAACATGAAAAAGCCCTTCAGCACTTCAGAATTGCATGATTTAAAAAGAATGCATGAATAAATAAATATCACCCTTAGTCTTCTTTTGTTAATCATGTTTCCCTTAAATACCAAAGGTATATTAAATGAGTTCTGTCTACACAGAATGAGCCTTGTTCTCATTTGCTCTTTTGTGTTCTTGCTTCTCACACAATAAAAATGAGTATCTTTGAGAAGATGTAGATTACACCATGTTTTCCCTCATGATTCATGGATGAGGTATAGGCTTGCCTTTCATTTGGTTTGCATGTTATATGCTCACAGCAGTGTGCAATGAGAGTCAAGTAAATTTTTCTGTCAACAATATTCACTCAAAGAAACATGCTTTTTGAACTGAATATTAAGAGACTGGGATATGTAATAAACTTTTTATTTACCTGACAATAATCAGAAATAGAACCAAGATATTAGCTGATGGTAGATAGACCTTAAATCAATAGGGAAAATTAATTTCTGAAACAAGTTATTTCTTAACAAGTTATGATATAATCTTTAATACCAATTCTCATTAGAAAAATACAATTACCATTTACATTCTATGTATTTATATAATTTCTGTAGGATTTTATCAGCTATTGCTCCCTGACAAACTTACCAGTCAGTCTCTCACTTGCTCTGAAGATTCATCAGGAAAAGAATCAGTTTCCAAGCTGGCAGACTGTCTCAAAGGTTCTTGTATCCAGTTTTCATGTTTATTCACACTGGCTAGTAGTTCACTCCATGACTTGTAAAAAGTGCACTTTGAGAGAGCTGCTCATGAGAGGGCAATAAAATCTAGACTTGATTCTTCTGCATTCTAATGAAAACTACCTTGTTACAACATTATGTAAACAGTGCAATGGAGCAAAGGGAAGGGAAATCATATGATATAATGAGACTATTGGATGTATGGATTTAGTTTTTACTGTTTTAAATTTTTTGGCAGACTGCAAAAGTGGTTCATAAAGTAGCAAGACAAAGACAAAGTTAAAACCAGATACTGTCCGGTTTTGTGAGTTGCATAATCTTGGCTCAGTTTCTGGAGATTTTTTTACTTTTTTTCCCTGAAAACTAGGGACTGCCTTTGGGGAACACATAGTTCTATGAAACAGGGTGTGTGTAAAAGGACTGCTGAGGACTCTAGTAACCATTGTACAGCATAATTTCTACAATGTCTTTTAATGTGTTAAATTTTATAGTCTCTATTTGATTATTGTAGAGGAATTCTTTCCTCCACACACATATTCTCCACATTTAAATTCTCTTCAAATCAATGTGTCTTTTTAAAGTCAGTTTGCTTTAGGCATTATTCATCTCAGAGCAGGAGATGGAGGTGGATCAATAGAGCTTTGTCATCAGTCTCCATCTTTTCAGAAAAGCACACTGGATTACTGCTAGAAAATGAGAAAAGAAAGGGTGAATGCATTATTCCTTCAGAACTTTGCCTTGTTGTTTTTTTCCCAATGCAACAGTAAATTATTGTAGCACATCATGCAAAAGTAAATTCTCAATTTTGAATTTCACATGGCATTTAGTTGTGTACAGAGCCAGAAAAAATAATCTCCATTATTTTTGTTCTTACAATGGAGTCTGTTATAAGTGATCTAAAGAAATTTGCTGCTCAAAATGGGAAGGAGTCAATAAAGTTGCAGTATTGTGTTAACTGCTTTGTTGGAATCATAAGTTAACGTGTTGTGCAATGCCTAACCACAAGTTCTGTAAGCTGCGGAATGATTAACACAACGCAATGATGATTTAGCTTATTGTATTTTGGAGATGTTTTGTTCTAAGCACATTAATAGAAACCAATATGGAGGGGTCGACCACGAGGAGTCCGGGTGATCAACCGTCATCCTGATGGAAATTTCCAGGACCACTGCCTGATAGAGACTAATGACTTTAAAATCATTGGTGGACACCCCTCAGCAACAGTGATAGCCCGGGAAAGGAGGAACCAACCCAGATTTGGCCTGCGAAGGGGGAACCAAGCAGGATGCAGCCCGCAAAACCTCCACCAATAGATTGATGACATGACTTTGGGGGGAGGTGGCAACAGAGGGTATAACAAGTGCTGTTTTTGTTCCTCTTTGCGGACCGCGGCAGGAACTGAGGTTTCCTCCGGTCGCCCGGCTAGCCGTTTTTGCTTGTTGGCATTAATAAATCTTTTTATTTCCTTGCAACCTAAATTATAGCCTCGTTTTACTTATTACAAGTCTGTAGACGCACACTTTATTTCCTGATTTTAGTGTCATAGAACTGAGGCATTCAGGAACAAGCATGAATATAGGCAGAGATACCAGAGATAAATTTGAAGATTATGCAGTTGATAATAATGGATTAATTATCAAAACTGACACAGTATTACAAGAATCTTATATTTTCAAGTTACTCATAGTAAGAGAATTTCTTCTTCATCAGCAACAATATAAAATATGAATTATTTCTGTGTAGGGATGAGATCGACTTGAGTTATCTTACAAACCTCAATGCAAATTTTACTCCTGTGATGATGGGGAAAAAAATTATCAATCTTTGTTAACTTTCCTTTTGGCTTGAATAAACCTTAGAGAAAACTTCTTATTTACAAGACAAGAGTGTCATCAGTGCTTTAGAGGGTCTGATCTTCTATGCAGTTTGTTTCTTCTTGTGACAGCACAAACAATAATATATTACAAAGGTTTATGTATTGTTACAACTGAATATATGTACATGTATTCCAGTTAGGGGATTAGAGATTGCTGTGACGGGAGTGTTTAGAGGACTGATAAATCAAGCTGGTTTCAAACTTCAAGAAGAAAACTTTAATAGATTCATTCATTCATTACTAACACACTGCATGCTAATGTTTTGTTCCTACAGATTAATAACCATTACCGCTATGAACTCACTCAACTTAACAGCTATGTCTGAAGTTAGTGGTGAGCATACTATGTCTTGGAGCTGATGTCATAGAGTGCACCATGATTGCCATGCTCCTTGGTGATACTGAGATGCCAGGATTAGGGTGACCAGGCTGGAGAGCCCTTTGGTGAGATAAATCAGAGAGGTGACTCCTGTCTTCTCGATCCTTCCTCAATCACTGTTGGTGTCTTAGCCTTCTTGCTCTCCCTTTCCTCACCAAAAATCTTGCCTTTGATTTTCCCATTCATCCTTCTGGGGTATTTGGCAGGATGTCCTGCCTATCGTTTGTATCTGCTGCTCGTCTTGTTCTTTATCTTGCAGATTCTCAACTATCTTCTCCCTTCAGCTACACCAATCATTCTTAGCCCCACTGGTGGTCACAATGCTACCATGTTTACATAAAATGCTTATATGCAATGTCTGGCTATGCCATCACAGCATTACAAAGCACTTATATGCTGTTGGTTACACTATTTTAGTATACTTATAATTCTTAGTTGTGTTTGTATCCTGATTAGGTTAGGATAGGTGGTACACTTAGGTTATATAGGTGGTACAGAGAGGTCTCTGCTTAAAATACAATATCAAGGATTGCAGATTACAAGGTGGTTTATGTCCTTGAAACACACTTAACTTACATTGTGCATTAAGTTGGCACTATCTACGAAATCGCAAAGATTTCGTGAAATATTTCTCAGTGTCTGAAAATGTGTAGCTCTGTTTTTAAATGTTCAGCTCGCCAATAATTGCTAATTATAGAATGCAATGGAAATTAGAGTTAATTTATGGCCCTGTGTACTTCCTAGAAAGGTATCATGATATATTAGACTATGCAAACAGCATGCACATTGGCATTTAGATGAAATTATGCAGCAATTAGTCTATAAGCACAGAAAGGAAAACCAGATTTAAAATACAATCTTTAGTAAATAATATGATTAAAATATGGCCTACAGATACATATAAAAAAGGAAAGGATGATCTTGTGTATTACTGCAAGTTTTAAATATGATCGAGGTGTGATTTTTTAAAAAATTGACATAATTAAATGTGTAATGTAGAGATTAAATAAAGAAAACCCTCAAGTATATTAGCATCTACTTTTATTATTAATTTGTCCCTTCTACACGTATTTGATCATTTAGGCTTCATCCTACTTTCTGATTTTCAGGAGTATTATCTCTGTGATGAAGGATCTTAAAACATGATATTGTTTAATTAACTTACAACCACAGTGACGAGTAGACAAGAACTATGCATATTTTATAAGATTTGAGTGGATACTGATACCAGTTTTGCTTTTTTGTCTGAAGAAGGGTTTTTATAAAGATATGGAAGATGTAGTTGTGTTGATTTTCTACAGCATTCTGCATTGGGAACACATTTTTATATTTGACTAGTCCTGTCTATTTTAATCAATTGCTAGTAAATACAGTTCTCTGTTCATTTCTTCCATTTATTTCTTTTCACTTTTCTTCAGTGTTTCCTAGTAGAAAGAGGAAAAAAAACCCTAAACACCCTTAAAAACAAAAAAAATAGAATACTATTGCACTTCTTTATTTCATCCAGCTGATATAAAAGACTGCTATTGATATGACAAGTATGTTCTACTAGAATTTCTGCCAAAATTTCAAGATTTAAAAAATTAATACTTCAGATAAAATATGCATATGTCTAATTCTTAATCTAGGCAAGATAAATAGAAAGTACTATTTCACATGGTGATGAGATAAAAGAGAAATGTAGTTTTGTCTATTTTCTCAGTTCATTTGTTTATTTGACAGCAGCTAGCATTAAGTGAAATATTATTTCACCTATTTGATGTATTATTATTATTATTATACACTTTACTGGAGAAGTTCTAAAGTACCACTTATGTAGAGTTTATCATAACAGAAGAATACTGTTTTAAAATACTTCAATTAAAAAGCCAAAAGTAATCAGTAGTATTTCTTTAAATGGCACACACTTTAAACTAACAGTGATTCATTAATAACTTGAGGCGTTTCTGTGATCTAAAATTAACATAGTCCCTGTATTTAAATCCATGAAGAAGCAGAAAGAGTTTAAAGGTATAGAAAACATGGAACCTGAAAGCATCTCTCAATGCAGTAAGGGATCTGTTCTGCAGGAAAGAAAGAGCTTCAGGTTCAAAGACTTTCACATCAGCAACTTTCATGAAATATTAAATTCATTTCAAATATAAATTTCTGAGAAGAAAAAAATAGATCCATAGAACCATCCACAACCAAATTTTGTTAAACATGATTGAGGATAGTTTTGCATAGGAATGCAAAAGAAATGCTACCTGGGTGCAAATGCTGTTAGGATTTATATTATGTGGGTCCTGAACTAAAATTCTTCTTATGTGCTGAAAGTGAGTCAGGAAAACTGATTATACAAGAAACATTCAACTTGTGGTGGGTACTTTGGATGTTATTCCAAAATGGTACTTCTAATAAGGAGCATCACAGCACTAAGGCACGTAAATTGCCACCTGCTGTGCCATCATTACAGCAAGTACAGAGGCGGTAATTATGGGAGTTATAGAAAATAAACGTAGAAATCTTGCTGTTTCCAAACACCTGCTGATATGTAGAATTCCTGCTGATATTTTCCTTTGAACATAATTTTTTGTTTTGTCTCCATCTTCAGAATTAAGCAAACGTTGTGTATAGCTGAAGAAGTCCTGTTGAAGTGATAGGCTGGGTTAGGAAGCATATTGCAACATTCACTTAAATCCTTACCACGTGAGTTTAAACTAACCACATTCTTTAATATGAGCACAGTGAAGTGCTACTCACACAGTGCTACTTTCCAGACTCAGAGAAGGTGAATACCAGTGAAACTTAAGATGTGAAATAATGAAGTTCCATACAAATGGCTAAATTTAAGATGATGGAGACAGATTTCTAGTTTGTGATATAATTTAATTGATATCTATGGTAATCATTTAGAACAGAGGTTCAAAACAAGATAGTTGGAAAGTAGCAACATTCATTGTGTATTTTTAACAGTTTTTTCCAATTATATACACTCATGGAGTGAATTTCTTATTCAATTCACACAATGCTATTGAAGGGTGCTCAGTATTTCACAAGGTTTGAGTATTTTTCCTGTTACATTAGCTTGAGATCATATAGACACAGTAATCTTGGAAGTAGTATAGGTGAAGCAAGATGCAGGGCTTTTTGATTGTTGCATTCTTCTAAAAAGATGTATCACATATAGTAATTTTTGGTGTTTCCAAATGCAAGTGACATTGTGTATGAAGCAATGTATTTTCATTTTTTAACTTAATAGCAGCAAGAAGTTGTGAATTAATTGTTTTTATGACAATAAAATAGAAATTAAGTATGTTATAACTAGGGTTTGCATGACAAGGTTTTGGTAGCAGAGGACTACGGGGATTGTTTCTGTGAGAACCTCACAGAAGCTTCCCCCCTGTCTGACAAAGCCGATGTCAGCTGGCTCCAAGGTAGACCCACCACTGGCTAAGGTTGTGGTTACACTTCTGGTGTAATATATTTAAGAAGGAGAAAAAAAGAAAGCTGCAAAATTGCAGACAGAGAGAGAAGTGAGAGAAACAGCATTGCAGACACCAGCGTCAGTGAAGAAGGAGGGGCAGGAGATGCTCCAGGTGCTGAAGCAGAGACTCTCCTGCAGCCTGTGGTCCAGACTATGGTGAGGCAGCTGTGCACCTGCAGTCCATGGAGGCCCATGGGGAAGTAGACATCCACTCGAAGCCAATGGAGAACTCCATGCCAGATCAGGTGGATGCCCAAAAGAGGCTGTGACCCTGTGGGGGAACCACACTAGAGAAATCTGTTCCCGAAGGACTGCATTCCATAGGAGAAACCCATGTTGGAGCAGTTCAGGAAGAGCTACAGTCTGTGAGAAGGACTCACATAGAAGCTGATGGAGAGCTGTCTCCTGTGAGAGGGACTCCATGATGGAGTAGGGGAAGGATGTGAGGAGTCCTTCCCCTGAGGAGGAAGGAGTGGCAGTGACCATGTGTGATGAACTGACAGCAACTCCCATTTCCCACCTGCTTGCACCCCCTTGGGGGGGAGGAGGTAGAGAATTAGGGTGTGAAGTTAAGCCCAGGAGGAAGAGAGGAGTGAGTGGAAGGTGTTTTAAGATTTTTTTTTATTTTATATTTATTTGTTTTTTATTTTATTTTACTTTTATTTATTTGTATATATTCTCTTTATTTGTTTTTATTTTCTCTTTGTCCTACTCTGACTTGGTTGGTAATAAATTACATTCATTTTCTTGAAGTCTGTTTTGCCCATGAGAGTAACTGGTGAGTGATCTCTCCCTGTCTTTATCTTGACCCACTAGCCTTTCACTATATTTTCTCTCCCCTGCCCAGCTTAGGATGGGAGTGATAGAATGGATTTGGTGGGCACCAGGTGTCCAGCCAGGGTCAGCCTACCACACTGAACTAGCAACCTTTCTCCCTTAATGACTATTTCTCATATAAGAAATAGTTATCTTTGTAGCTCACTAAAATAATTTTAATTTTGGAAATTAATTATTAGCTTTTAATGTTATTAAAATCTCATTGCCAATTCAAATTAAATAAAATTAATTATTAGGATTTGTGGAGCTGTTATTAAATAGCAGAAGCAGTAAGAAAAATGGAATAAGAAATAAATTAAAATATTAATTTTAGAATTTATACAATTAGGAAACCACAAGGAAATAATCTCTTTTATATTTTATAAAAATCAGTTTTTGCTTTGTATTTACTATTCTCTTTCTGTGCCTCAGTACTGTTTTCTATTACATATTTTTCCTCATCTGTTGATGTTCTTGCTATATCCCCTCTGATATATGGAAACAGATAATTTCTATTTCTGGCTATGCTAAATTCAATCATATCACTGTCTCCTCCTTCCTGGCTATACTGACTTAATTACTGCATCAACTTCACCTCTTGTATATTCCTGTTCTTAATGACCTAGCTGCTGTTTACATGCACTCTTTAAGAAGTAATGTAGATCTTAGATATAAAATATGTCTTAGAGAAGAGTCTCTTTAGAGTTGTCTTCCTTACTGGTAGCTGCAAATCTCCTGATCTCACACATACCTTCAAGATTTACTCTTTTTGGTACACATTTCACACAAGAAGTAAGGGAATTTACAAATACTCAGAAATACTAGCAGAGAATGTTCAAGATGGAACATATCAAGACTGGAAGATATAATTTCAACCAACTTCATATTTTTTTCTGTGCTTGTCTGGACTTTTCATCATGAAAATAAACAAAATAAAATGCAGGCATATTCAACCTTATTTCAAGTTTTATTTTCTTAAAATGGTATGAAATTTTTTACTCTTTCAATTAAATTAAATGCAATAAGCAACTGACTTGTGGAAGTTACCATTTCTTACTATAGGTCTGTCTCCCACAATTATAGTATTTCATAACACGACGTAAACTTTTGACAATATGAACTGTCTTGTTTATCATTTAAATGCCATCCTATTGTTGGAAATATTTCTTTTTAGAACTTCCAAGAAGTAAAATGCCATAAAGAGAAGATAAAGCTGAATTTGGAAGGATGGAGTATCTTGAGTTGCCACTTTGGATATGATGGACAAGTCTTTCTTGGAATGTATTCCCTGAGTTTATGTACATATTGTATTAAGAAACACTGAAATAAATAGAATTAAAATTTCATTAAGAGTGAATTTAATAGTATGAACAATAAAATACACAAAAGCAATCAACAAACCAGAAAGCAATTCAACTATTTTTCAATACGTGAAAAATTTCAGGTCTTAATGACAGAGAAATTAATGTGTTATCTTTTGCTCTCAGATGGATAATGTTTTATGTTGCTTTCTTCTTTTCCTTCCTACTTAGTTGACAGGTCTCTAATTGCCCAATATGCCCTTTTAGAAATAAACTTTCTACTTCCTATAGACCATTAAGTTTTTGATTTGTCCCTGATGGCATGCCCTTATTCATCTTCTTCCCAGCTTTTTTTGCAGTGTCTCGATTCTCCTGTAATGACTATGGTAGTATCAACTCATTATCTACTTGTTTTGCCCATTCTTTGCTCATTATATTGTTTCTGTTTCCTCATAAATGTCCTTGGAATATTAGTTCTCTGTTTTCCCAGCAGAACATTTTTATGTGTGCAGCTGGTGAGCCTCCTTCAGAAAACCTCAAGCTTTCGTCTCTTTTGCTGCACTACTCCAACAGTTTATTCCCTATTTTGACATGAAACAAGTACACACATAAAGGTACTCTGCTGGGGCTGCCTGCTGCCTCTCAACTGGAGATCTAAAAACCCAGCAGGAAAGGAACACCAGCTTCAAATTTCTTTTTGTTGCCCCCAGCTGTGCAGGAAGTTGCCATGCTGTTATATCCAGCTGACTTTCTGGAAGATGTAAATTTGCCAAGATCTGAGGGGCCTATGATCTTCCAAGTTCCTGATGTTATGTTCCACAGGAAGTCATTCCTATTCTTACCACTTGCCAGTCGTCAGTCTCCTCTGGCTCCTTTCCAGCCCTTCTCATTTACTCTTACCAACTATGACCAACATTAGACACATTTTCTTTCTTTCACTTTCAAAAATCAGTTTGATTCCAATTTGTTTGTGTATTTTACAAAAACGCGTCATATAATCTACAAAAGCACTTCTTTTTTACAAGACCACCTTTCTTGAGTAAATTTTGCATTCATATAAAATTGTCCCCTAGATCTATCACTGCTTATACTAAGCATTTTCCCCAGGACACATCTGTAGGTTAAAATGATTTCTTTGATTTCACTCAGACATGCTACTTTCAGCTATTGAAAGAAAATATGCAGTTTAATTTTTGTGAGAATTTTTTTTCTCATTAGGTGATTATTGATCCTTTTATTTCTCCCCTAGTTGTTTCTATTTCTGACAACTCATTCTGAAAAGAACCTCTTGATGTAGCTGTGTACAACATTTCAAGCTACCCCATATATAGCTTTTATTATTATTTCATAATTTTGAAACTGATTCTACATAAAACCATCAAGGGATGGGGGAGAATGCCAATTCATACATCAATGACTTAACACCAAGAATGAGATTTATCAAATATGTTCTAATACCAGACAAATTTGGAAAACTCTTTAATCATGTTTTCACAGGAAGAAAGAGGAGTAAATTCATTGAATCTTCATCAGTAATGTTCCTATTTGTTCCATAGTGTAAGTGTGCAACAAACTGATCTTGATTTATGTTAATCTAATTTCTTCTATCCCTGATATGGTTGGACTTTCTCTTTTTGATAAGGTATTCCAAGATTTATTGTGCTATAGAAAGTGTAATTAAATTGAAAGGCTTGGGGATAGACATTGTGCTATTGATTGTTGGTATTATAAGCCTAAGTAGAACAACTATGACCAACTTGCTCTTTGCAATGGGATATTTCTATTATGTGACCCTAAATGACATAAGAATCATGTTGATATCCATCTCACTAACATACCTATTCAACTGGAAAATGAACACAAATATTCTTAGTTCAAACACCATTTTTTCCTCTCTAAGAATAAGAGGAGTAATAAATGTTCTTTGTGACATAGATGTAAGTAGTGACATTTTGTCTACTGCTTTAATTTTGAAAACACTTTAATTTATAATTGTATTTTTGCTAAATTATGGACCTATGTTTTCAACAAAATACTTGCAGGTGTCTCTGAATCAAAGACAGAATTAAGCAAGTTTGGTTCCAGCTTTGCCCACAGTAGCAATACAAAACTAGCAGACAGTAACCAAGAGAGTGACTTTTAGAAGACAGCAGGTGGTGCAGAGGACGTGGCAGCCGCACTGAAAGTTCCCAGCTCCTCCTTGGGACTAGCTCTATTCTGTTTCCATGTGGGGAATGTGCAACCAGGAGTGCGTTGGGATTTTATTTTGTTCCTTAATTTCATCCAGAAAATATTGAGGTCATGTGCTCTGAAACAGCTCCAGACTGGGAGTGAAAGCAGAGAAGGTAGGGATAATTGGGAAATTTTGGACAAAAGACCCCAGAAAAGTGTGTATCTTGACTGACCTGAAAAAAAAAAAAAGAAGTTAACCACTAAACATAAGAAAATTAAATCAAGTGTATAGCCTTGAACCACTTCCTAAAAAAAGTCTCCTCGATTTGAGTGAAATGCGTTCGGAAAGTACCTTAAAACACATTGATTTGTCCTAATTTGACTATTGACAACACCCCTCCACGAGCACATTCAGGTTGTGCTCTGCACCCAAGTGCTGAATTTGCCCCTCTGATGGGGAAACATGACAGCTGTATGCCTCCTTGCTATGTGCTGTCACTGGTAGCTTTTGACAAGCCCCAGTTTGAACCAAACATGTCATAGCTTTGAATTCACCTGTATACTTGCCACAAAATAGCTCATTTCCATTTTTCTTATTTGGACAGAGAGGCATTTTTTGTTGTATTTATTATGCTACACATATTTCAAAGCTATACAAGGGAAAAACCTTGCTAAGGATAACTTGCTTATCTGCAGAATCGTTACTTCTAGTGATGATAGCACATTACTTTTATACACTATACTTTCATATACTGAGTACACATACGAAGGCATCTGTGGTCTTTACAGATATCAGAACTGTTTACAGCCAAATAATGAAACACTTTTAAGATAAAGATTTGTGAGTCTGTGTGGATTTCACAGGTCTACAGATCTAAACCAAGAACATTTTGGTGTGAGGATGAATAAAGTTTCCAGTCATCAGTTGAACCAGGATTTAATTTTTTTTTTAGTTGAGTAATAGATTGAATAGTGGAATGAAATCCTCAAATATTGTTCTTTAATTAGTAAGAAAGTTTTGGATTGAGTTTTGAGGGGTTTGTGTTTGTGTGTTTTTTTAATCTCCTCCTATTTGTTGAGCAGATTCATATTCTACTCTGAATTCAGTTTGTCCTATATTAAAATTCTGCATGTTTTATAATGAGATCTCACCCAATAAAGGACAAAATGTGTGACTGAAGTACTATTGTTGGAACAAAATGCTAAATTCATGATAAATGCCCTTTGTTGGAACAAAATGCTAAATTCATGATAAATGCCCTTTGCAATGTACCATTTTGATATTTCACACTCTAACAGCTTTAACCCAATTGCCCAAATTGTATGTCAGATGTATCAGGATCTTTGTATTCCACTGCACTAAAGGCAAGTGAAAATTCTTGTTGACTTTGCTGAAAATGGAAATTATCTCCTTGCAAACAGGTTTTGTAGCCACTTGAAAAAACTCTGTAGCATTTTACAAGCATTTCCTGTTAGCTAGACTAGAGTACAGGGATCAGATTTTTATTTTTTTTTAAATGAAGTTATTCCTGTATTTTCTATTAATTTGTGGTATAATTCTGTTTATGTTAAATTTTATATGCTCAGTCTGCTTATCTGTAAGGAGCGTGTAAAACCTCGCTTACTTCAGAGACATCACATAAGGGTTACTTAATGCTTCCGTGATGCTTTGAAGTCTATAAAGACAGTCACTGCAGAGGGTGGAATACCATTATCATTACTACCACTGTTACTATTTACAGTAGTTCACACTAATTTTTCTCTTTGTCTCTAGAAGTTCTTGATCTCTCCTACAAAACAAGCCTAAAAATCACATATCACTGATGTGCGTAATTTATATATTTAGTAACTTTACACTCTACTCATGTGGCTCCTCATCAGTTTGCCACAGGGAAACATCTGTTGCTACGTGTCACCTTTTTTGGCTCTTACCCTATACAAAATCTTCTGATTTTCTGGCTTCTGTATCTTCCAGTAGTACTCTTTATTTTATCTGGTTCTTTATGATTTAATTTCTAATGCCTTCCATTCACTTCCTATAGTCACTTGCTCATTTTTATTAGGTTTTTTGTTTTCCTGTCATTTTATCACTGTTTCACCAGCCATCTGGCCTGTTAATTTTCCTCTGACTTTTAGTACTTTCCTCATCATTGCCTCATGTACATTGGAAAGAAGTGATTACATCCTGCTGTCAGGCTTCGTTTTTTTTATTTTTTTTTACCAAGAGTACATTTTTTTTTCTCTTAGTTTTATTCATGTAGTTCAAAACATCAGAAGGAAACAACCAAGTTTTCATAGAACGCCATTAATTATATCATTAAAAGAGTGAAAATTGAAGGCAGAAATTACGGTAAAGGTTGTGTTTTACCTCAGCTAAAGCTGAAAGTCTAGTTTGCAGAAATCAGCATCCCAGGAATTCCCTTGAAAGTCACTTCAATATTCAATAGAGGTAAACAGTGATTTTAGAGTATGATTTAGAAGATCTATTTCAAACATCAATACAAGCATGAGCTAACTTCTCTCTACTGACTGTAGAAATTCTTTAAACTATTAGTTTAGCAGAAGAAACCTGCATTTGGCCCGATGAATTGCGTACTCTGACTCTTTGTTCAGCTGTGGACACTAAATTATGCCCATGGCTGGTGAAGTAACAAGTTAGGACCAGTGGGTATAGTCTTTTTAAAATCAAAACAGTATTTCCAAGGATGAAGCCACTTAAGGAATATGGTCTATATATTTTAGTATTCAAACTACGTTACCATAGACTTACCATTACCAAAACCTTCAGACTTTCATAGTTTTTCAAGTTACTTATC